CTCAATATTAACACATCCGTGGGTGGGAAGAAGCACACAGGCCATTTCAGGTCAACTCCGAGCAGGAGCCCTTCCTGCTCTGGCCCTGGGATCCCCCTCAGTGTTGGGCAGTCTGTGAACCAACTCTCCCTGAAGCACCTGACCTCTTCGTGCTGCGATGGGAGCCTCGTCCTCTTGCTCTGCGCTTGGGGAGGCACCGCTCTCCCTGTCATCTGTCTAACACGACGGGCCAGAACCCACCATCATATTTCTCTCTTTTCCAAGGAGGCAAAAAGGCACACGGCCACCGCGGGCCAGGCTCTTCGTCCTCTCAGCCGCCCTGCACTGACTCAGGGCCGCCATCACCTGCTCACAGGGTCACTTCACTGCTCCCTCCTCTCTCGGCCACATTGAAGCAGAACGTCCTGAGGGAGGAAGGTTCTTTCCGAACAATGAACATCAGCACGAAGTGTAGTGACGATTTCCAAGGCTGCCTGCTCTTAGTGTTCTGTGCTACCCATGTCATGCTCTTTTCGTATCATTTCAACTCTCACTTTGTCATTAACTCCTCAGCCAATTCATTCCTTCTGGATCATTTCATTTCTCTCCCGCTCTGTTCACCTGGAGAGAAGGTCTCAAAAGCACCTGGTAGACACTCACCTGCATTTGACAGGTACTTGTTAGAGGGGTTTCCTCCCACCTCAGGTGGAAAGATTCCCAGTGTGTAGGTGAGTGGGAACGTTCTGTTTCAGGCGCCAGCATTTTCCTTTCCCTGTCATCTAACACGACGGGCCAGAACCCACTGTCATATTTCTCTCTTTTCCAAGGAGGCAAAAAGGCACACGGCCACCGCGGGCCAGGCTCTTCGTCCTCTCAGCCGCCCTGCACTGACTCAGGGCCGCCATCACCTGCTCACAGGGTCACTTCACTGCTCCCTCCTCTCTCGGCCACATTGAAGCAGAACGTCCTGAGGGAGGAAGGTTCTTTCCGAACAATGAACATCAGCACGAAGTGTAGTGACGATTTCCAAGGCTGCCTGCTCTTAGTGTTCTGTGCTACCCATGTCATGCTCTTTTCGTATCATTTCAACTCTCACTTTGTCATTAACTCCTCAGCCAATTCATTCCTTCTGGATCATTTCATTTCTCTCCCGCTCTGTTCACCTGGAGAGAAAGTCTCAAAAGCACCTGGTAGACACTCACCTGCGTTTGACAGTTACTTATTAGAGGGGTTTCCTCCCACCTCAGGTGGGAAGATTCCCAGTGTGTAGGTGAGTGGGAACGTTCTGTTTCAGGCGCCAGCATTTTCCTGGAAACCTCTGCACTGTCCGTCAGGAAACCAAGCCCAGGATCCCCCGTGAAACAATGGCCTCTGCATTCCCGACGAGGCAGCCTGAGCGGAGGGAGCCCACTTGCCTTGCCGTCATTATCTGGGCTCAACCTTGTTTCTGGTCATCAACCCCAACACATACCTGACTCTCCAGTCCTCCCCAGCTCCCCATCCCAGCCACAGCCCACGCCTCCCAGTGCCTAGAAAGCTTTCCCACCCGCCTTGCCCAACCCTCCTGCCTCATCTAGACTCGCATTCATGCCCCCCCCAGGCCAACACAACTGTCACCTTCCCCGCAGAGCTGCCTCCCAGTCCTCCCAGCAGAACCAGGTACTCTGGGTCCTTGGCCCACTTTGTTCCACCCTCTGAGGTCAGGCCATTTTGCTCTCATGGATGCTCCACGGACCGCAGCAGTGGGGCCTCTCCTTGTCCTCTGAGCATCTCAGCGGAGGGAGCCCACTTGCCTTGCCGTCATTATCTGGGCTCAACCTTGTTTCTGGTCATCAACCCCAACACATACCTGACTCTCCAGTCCTCCCCAGCTCCCCATCCCAGCCACAGCCCATGTCTCCCAGTGCCTAGAAAGCTTTCCCACCCACCTTGCCCAACCCTCCTGCCTCATCTAGACTCGCATTTATGCCCCCCAGGCCAACACAACTGTCACCTTCCCCGCAGAGCTGCCTCCCAGTCCTCCCAGCAGAACCAGGTACTCTGGGTCCTTGGCCCACTTTGTTCCACCCTCTGAGGTCAGGCCATTTTGCTCTCATGGATGCTCCACGGACCGCAGCAGTGGGGCCTCTCCTTGTCCTCTGAGCATCTCAGTGCCCAGCACAGGGCCTCAATAGGGCAGTGCTCAGGCCTGGTGTTTGAAGTTTTGGGGGCAATATAATCTGCTGAGGCTAAGATGGATTCTCCTTTTGTTGTTGTTGTTGTTGTTGTTGTTTTTTGCCTCAGGATAAAGCTCTTTGGCTTTGGACGCTTGTCATAGTACCTTTTGGTGAATAGACCTATAGCACAAAAATGTGAATGCCCTCTCCCTCATTGTTGTTTTTTGCATCAGGATAAAGCTCTTTGGCTTTGGACAAGCGTCATAGTACCTTTCGGTGAATAGACTGACCTATAGCACAAAAATGTGAATGCCCTCTCCCTCAACACCCTCCCACTGGGGACTCCAGTCTTTCTGTAGCCTCCAATCCTTTCTAGCTGACCCACCTCCACCCGCCATCTAAAACCACCCCTACCAGGCAGGAAGGTCAGGGGCCAACCTCTTTCATTTGCCGTGAGGATCACGCAGCCGTGATGGTTACCTCTGGCCTCCGACATCTTCGTTTGAGAGCAAACCTGAACATCCCAATATTGGCCATTGATCATGTTGGAAGAACCAATGAACAATCATAGCATTGAGCCAAAATATTTTTTTTTAATTTTTCACAAAGAGCTCTAGAAGGCAAGTAGTAGTTTATCACGTCCTCTCTGGAAATGACACAGCATGACAGACAGGGTAGGGCGCTGGAATGCCGGCTCTTCATCATTGTCCAGAGTCCCCGCAGTGGCCCAGGGACCCCACAGCAAGGCCATGCGGTGTGTCCTCTGCAAGCGTTGTCGCTCAGCCCACACTCAGCAGCACCAGCACTACTGAGGTCACGATCATCTGTCCAGAAGATTCCACCTCAGATCCCAAGATCCAGATCGGGATCCAGGTGGGGTTTGATGGCCAGAGGCAGAGAACAGGTGCCACGGCTGGAGGCAGAGCCTCTGACACTGCAAAGGTCAGAATTCTTGACTCAAGACTAGAGGGGAGGCGGGAAGAATGATGAGGTCAAAGAAGCCCTGGGTTGCTGAAGAGACAACTTTTTAAAGGAATGCTGGGTCTGCAGTTCGCAATGTTCACAACAAAAGAAAGTCGCTTGGGATTCCAGACCTGAGCAGGAAGAGGCAATGGCTGGGCTAAGAGAGTCAGAACTTTCTTCACAGTAGAACAGCCCTAAGCTAAAATTCTAGAATTTAAGACCAATGTCTTTTAAGAATGGGAATTCGGAAACCCATCAGACCAGCTGATGGAGGCCAAAAAAAAAAAAATGTTCTCTATTGAACAAAACCACACAAACAACTCAGTCCTCCTCCACTCCCAATACCCCAGCCACCTCCCACCCCATTAAAAAGTATTATGAACGTTACACACACTCGCACACACTAAAATACACAAACAAAATACAAGACACTCAAGGAACCTTCGGGATCACCTAAGGAGTTTTCACAAGCTCTCCAGGTGCTCTTCCTGTTTTGTTTCTAGAAAAAAAGAGTCAAGCTCTGATGGTTTGTCTAAGCAGTAAAAACTGGAGTCAGCCTCAGTTTCCTGGCTTATTAGTCTATGTAGAGGAATAACGGCGGTAATTCAAGAAGGGAGGCCAAGACTGGTGTTCTGTGGAAGGCGAGCTGCCTTGTCCTGCAGCCGGGCCCTCACCAGGGAGCACTCAGCTGTCACACGCAGCAGCCCCACCCATGGGTTCTGCTCGAACATCAGGACACTGCGTGTGCGCACAGAATGCTGGGGAGGCTACTCCAGAGGCGAAGCTCTACTGTTTGCGGCACCAGAACATAAACCTGAAGCAAACCGTCAAGGGACAGCCGAGGATCACAGACGGTGGAGCTGGAAGAGATGATGCAGTCCAACTCCGCCTTCAACAGAAAATCCATCTATGGAGAAAGCAGAGGTTGTCTGTCCAGATCCTGACTCCACCTGAAGCTTCCCTGGTGGTTGGCCTCAATCAGTTGATCAGTCCGTTGTTTCTGACCAACGTCCCTCACCTGGATCATTTGTTTCCGGACGGTTAGAATCTCCCACTCGGCATAAGTCTGTCTGGGAAATGCAGGAGAACCAGACGATTGAACCGATGTGTCTACACTGACCGCTCCCCAGGGTGCCATTGTGTTTAGTCTTCAAACACGATAAAGTTCAAAACATCTGTTTCTCTGCCTTATCACACAGATATCTCCCCCCCCCACCCTTTGTAAAATAAATAATTCAAACTAGACTGAAACTTGGGCAAGGACAGTTGCTGCCTCTTAACCAGGGGTCCTCAAACTTTTTAAACAGGGGGCCAGTTCACTGTCCCTCAGACCGTTGGAGGGCCGGACTATAGTTTAAAAAAAACTATGAACAAATTCCTATGCATACTGCACATATCTTATTTTGAAGTAAAAAAACAAAACGGGAACAAATACAATATTTGTATTTGCATGTGGCCCGCGGGCCGTAGTTTGAGGACCCCTGCTAACAGTAACCCATGAAACTCACACCTGCAATTCATTCCCATGCAGGGGTGGAGGGGAGCTGATGTGCTGAAACCCTGGGACAGAAGTCAGAGCCAGCCCTCCCCCCTTATATATTAAATTTATCTTCATAAATAGAGCATCTTAATTCCAATGACCACAATAAAAAGGCCAAAGTTTGAGTTCTTTTTTCCTCAAATAGTTACACAAACCCCCAAATATCTACTAAGCTACCCACATGGCCCACTGGAGCCTCATTACGAGAGCTCCGGCTGCCACGATAGTCAACGGCCAAGGCTCAGACAGACCCAACACCCATCCCTGTTGGACAGCGAGGACTCGGATAGAAAATTCACTTTGCAATAAGGCTCATGACAATCCCTTTCAACAAAAAGCCCGATTTGATTTTAAACTATTTGATCCCCCCAAAACTTGTTACCTACACAAGTTTTTAAGGTCACATCTATGACATGAAATGGGCTCACTAGACCACTAGACGTGGCCTCAGTGGGCGTGGCAAGGTTGCCCACCCATTCACTGATGTGACACTGTGGTGCTCACCTTCCTCTTGGACAAGTCTCCGAGCCATACTTTCAACCTCAATGTGAGAACCAGTATCAATGGGTAATTAACTAAAGGACTAGGCGTCTACATTAAAGTTTATCTCAATGGGTGCAATAAAGCCTATCTTCTAGCCATCCTAGGAAATTTGGGTTTTAATTTTCTAATTTCTCCTCCCCTCTCAAAAATGTATTAATTTGGATCAATCACTTGGGTTAGATGACTGTGACCATAGGAAGAAGCCGGGGCAAACAGATGGACAGCCCGTCAGAGAAATCAAAGGGTGGTGAACGCCGTCTGGGTGGAGCCTTCATAGCTCATCCCTCGAAGGCGCGGTGTTCAGGGAGGTTGGAGGTGGCAGGGCCTCTGTGTTCTTGGCATTGTGGTGGATGTGGCCTTGCTTCTGGGACTTCCAGGAATGTGTCCTGTCCCAGTCAGTGGCCACTGTCTCATTGTCCCAGATGGTCGAGGTCTCCGTGTCACTCAGGTACCCCGGCTGGCCTGTGTAGTGTGTGGGGTAGATGAGCAAGGGTTCCGCGGAGAAGGCTTTCAAGTCCCTGGATTTGTAATGCTCCTTGTACTCAGCTCTGAAAACAAGAGGGGCACAGGCATGAGGGGGCAGGGCGCTTACAGAACAGGGAGAGAGGGAGAGGGGCCCTGCTTGTTACCTCTTCAATGGTCAGGGACTCATCTGATTATCTTTTAAGTTGTGTCCTTTGTGGAAAACTTTAGTCTATAAATACAATAAAGGTTCTTTAGAAGCTTTCGGATGAGCTAAGCAAATACATAGACAAAGTCAGGATATTTCTGTTGTATTTGGATAGACTGGCTTAAAATGAATTTCAGCTCTTACTCTGAAAGTTAAGAATTAAGCTCTGTGTGGGACCGTAATAATACATAAATGTGATCACTCTGTAGAAAATGCCCTGTTGCTCGATTAATACATTAGCAGCAGGATCTGGACAGCAGTGAAGGAGTGAGTGAACTAGCGTAGGCTTGGAGGCAGGCCAACGTGGCTTTGTATTGCAGATCCCTGTGAGTGTAAAGTCGAGAGATGACTTGACCTCCCTCCCAGGGCTCCGGTGCAGATTATGTGAGGTGACATCTGCTCGGCTCCTACGTCAGTGAGTGCCCCATAGGCGTGCATTTCCTTTCTGTTAAGGGGATGACGGCTGACCTCCCTGTTTCTTCAGGATTCAGAGATAAAGTGAGTCTCTAATACGTTGTGTAAAAGAGGGCAAGGAGATAAAATGAAGATGGAGGTCAGGAACTCTTAACCGCTAAAATGAAGACCATCTCCTCGAGGAGATAACCCAGCAACTGAGAGAAGGAGCCAAGGTTAGAACCTGGTCTCCTGCTCCATTAAGGAATTTAGGAATCATTGACAGAACAGCAAATATGTATAGAGTTTGGCCGAGGCTCTAAAGACACAGAGATGTAAGACTGTGCCTACCTGAGGGGCTCACAGGTTATTGGGGAGACTGACAAGTAAACCATCAATTACCAAACCCTTTGGTAAGTGTTGGTCAGAGCCAACTCCTGGGCTACAGAATCCCTGAGCATCACACTGCCTTCTCCCATGGATCCACCCCAGAGGCCACATGCCTTTCCCTGATTCTCTAACACACCTCCATGATCACAGGTAGCACAATATATCATGATGATTGTTCATGGGCCTGTGCTCTTGACTAGGCTGTGAGCCACTGCCTGGCCAACAGGACCCACAACGGACTGAGAAATGAGTTGAAAATTTTGAGATGCTTAGGAAGATGACCTTCACCTTGAGGTGTATGAGTTCATGGAAGTAAGGAGATCAAAGACAAGGAGAGGACAGAGCAGATTATGTCCATTTAAATTACACACTGGGTATGAAAGGGGACTCCTATGCAAGACACCATTTCTGCTTCACCTTCCCCATAAGGGGATAATCACTTGAGTCAACCTCCCTGGGTCGTGATTATGGACAGATCATCTAGGAAAGCAGTGCACCGTTAGAAAATATCAAGTACTGCCCAGAAACTGAGTAGGCTGGCTCACGAATGCACTGTGCTCACGGGACGGGCAGGGAGTTCGGGGCAACTCACACAGGATGCTTGTTGTACATGATTGGCAGGAACTCGTCCACTGGCAGCATCTTCCCAAACGGATCAGCTCCAACCAGCTTCTGTGCTCCTTCCAGAGAGAGGGCGTAGCCCAGCGTCCAGTAGGAGTAGTCGGCTTCAACCAGGTTGACCACGTTGGGCACCGCCTTCTCCGGCTCTTTTACTTGCATCCTCTTCCTACCAATATAACTAAAAGGAAGTGGGCAGAGGAGAAAATTCCAATTGGAGTACCAGACATGCATAGGAATGGAGCACGCCTTTGTAGACACTTTTGAAAGCTTGCACCCACTGTGTCGTATATTGAATGCATCGGGCCGCATAGCACGTCACATCTGTCGCCAACTGTGACCGTCACCTGCCATCAGTGGGGCCATTTCCCTGGCTCCATTTATCAGCATCCCATCTACTCTGGTCTAGGAGACAGTGTTTAAGCCAGAAAGTAAAGATGTAAAGAGATGAAACGTCTTTTCAGATCATTTCCCAAAGGTGGTATGGGATTTCCAGCTGTGTTTACAGGGGTTGGCAGGGGACACAAAAGGCCAGATGTGAGAATCCCGAGTTTGTTATGTTCAAGTCCCCCGAGTTTCAGCCTGCTGTGTTGTCTGCAAGCGCTCCAAATGCTGGTGGTGAACACAGGACAGAACCGGCTGTGGGAAAGAAGCAGTCTGCAGGAGTGGCCCCCGGAAGGCTCTTCCTGGGGAGGATGATGCCAGCGCCTCACACGCCCCTAGCTCTGCCCACACTTCCCCCTGCGTGCTCTGCTCTGAGAAAGGCACCCAAGCAGGTCCTGTTCTCCATGAGCATCTGAGCAGCTGCTGTCTGACAGGGAGCCGTCTCTCAATTACACTGTGCTGACTGCTGGGTCTATTTCCCACGGGTCAGTGGAGCCATTGCTAGGCTGCTCTTGAGCTCAGAAGGGTGCCTTTTCTGAGAGAACAAGTATTCCGCCTGGGCCCATAGCTGGCTTTCCCTCCAAGGATGGGAGGGGCGGGGACAGCCTGTCTGAAGCAGGTGCTCCAAAGGGACAGGCTCTGATGGGATGGGATTGCCTGTGACACACAGCTGGGGGGAGAACGCAGGGCTTGGGAACTTTCTGCCTCATGGAGAAAAGAGAAGTGTCATTTGGGTTTAACAAGAAAATGAGAGAGAGGGGGGAGGAGGAAGTAGAGAGGGAGGGAGAGAGGAAGGAAGGGAGAGAGGGCAGGAGTTGGGCAGGGAGAGAGAGAGAGAGAGAGAGAAAGAGAGAGAGAGAGAGAGAGAACTCAATTCCAAGAGGTGGCAGACAATGAGCATTAACCCATTGTTAACTCATTAATGTCAGTTCAGAGCTACCAGTCCCTTGGTGAGCCTGGTTTCCCTGCAACAGCCTCTGACCCTCCACCAAACCCGGCTGTCAGTGTTCTCCCTGCTGCACAGCTTCCTCTCCCAACAGAGATGCCCTCCCCTTGCTCAGTCTCCCACACCCACGGAGGGAACCTGCTCTATGGGAGCCGAGGTCCAATGTGACCCAGGACTCTTGCCCTGGAATAAACCCCTCCATGGGCCACGTGCTTCGAGGGCGGGGTGTGTGCTGTGCTCCCGAGTGAGTGCTCTGTCTGAAGGCCCCTGATCTGCAGGCTGACCCAGGTCTCATAACGAATCTCCCGCAGTTTCTTCCTCACCCTGCAGAGTACACACCTGCAGAACCAGTGGCTATCCTCTACTCATTTCTTTGGTTTCTGGTAATGTTTATGGAGAGAAAATCAGTGGAAGCTTGGGGTGTATCTCCTACCAGGGGGGAGGTAGGGCTCGCTGCCCCTGGAAAGGACCCAGTGCCTCTGGGAGCTCTCTGATAAGGCTGTCTTGTCACTCACATCAGTTCCCAATCCAGCTGAGCCTGGTCAATGTCATCCATCAGTTTCATCAGCTTCTTCTTAAACTGATGTTCAAAACGCACATCATCCTCAATAACAAGAGTCTTCTCCAGCTCTCGGTCAATTACCTGCGAAGGTCATCAGTGGAAAGACACTCTATGAAATAATCAATACTTATTTTTAAAAAATATATATATATTATTGATTTTTTACAGAGAAGGGAGAGGGATAGAGAGTTAGAAACATCAATGAGAGAGAAACATCGATCAGCTGCCTCCTGCACACCCGCTACTGGGGATGTGCCCACAACCAAGGTACATGCCCTTGACCAGAATTGAACCTAGGACCCTTCAGTCTGCAGGCCGATGCTCTATCCACTGAGCCAAACCAGTTAGGGCGATACTTATTTTTTTTTTATTAGACAAATCAGTATTAAAACATAAGGAGTTTAGTAGCATATGTAAAAGCTCATAACTGGGTTCTAAGTCAACAGTAGAATGAATCTATAGACTGTGGTATATTTACAACAATAAGAATGTATGATCTACAATCAACTTAAATGTTCTAGATGAATCTCACAAACATAAGGTTGAGAGATGGGACATACCCTATGATTCTATTCATTTTTTTTTTTTAAAAAAGTACAAAAAAAGACAAAACTACTCTTGCTGTCGTTAAAAGTCAGGATGGTGATTACTGGGGGGACAGTGACTAGAAGGAAATGTAGAGGGGGTGGATCTGTGGGCTGGCAATCTGTTCGGGATCTGGGTGCTGGTTAACGTGGGTGCATTGTTCAGTCCGTGAAATTTCATTGGCCCGTGTTTTACAATCTACATATTTTTATACATTTCTCTTATGTTTCATTTAAAGTTTAAAGACAAAAAAAAAAGATAGGCCTAGACTGGATCGTTCAAAGAGAGAAGGCATTCAAGAGGCCCTTCTTTAGAGCCTTTTCCTTTTCTTGTGAGAACTTAGCCTTGATCAAGAACCCCACACTCCAATACCACCCTCATCGTCTCATCTGTAAGATATGGGTTCAAGTCCTAGCTCTGCCACTTCTTGCTTAGACAACATATTTATTTCCTCTTGCATAAAATGGGCCCATCCCTCCTGACCCACCACATGTGACTTCTGTGGGTCTTCTTGTATGAAGTCACTTACTAAATGATGACATGCTAGACACATGCAAGGCGTCCCTACTAAGGATGAGAAAGCATCAGCAGGAGTGTGGCCCTAAGAACATGGGCGTCTTCCCCTGTCATTGTCCCAAGGGTCCCAAGGTTACCCCTCCTTGTCTGTGGCTGGCCTTGCGTCAGAGGAAGACACGGAGCAACTGTAACTTTCAAGTGTACTTCCAGAACAGGGAGGGGCTCACCTTACACCTGGCCCTCATTCACCCACCAAGTCCCACTCTCCCTCCTCCTCATTACAAAATGCACATGTATATAAAGCATCATTTACCTCTTTCCAGACAGAGTAGTGGCTAAGGAAGCAGCCGATTTCACCCCTGGTCAGAGGCCTGGAAGAGTAGGGGTCTCGATACCCAGGCAACATGTCAATGTTCAGGGCCTTCAGTTGGCTGGTGTTGAGCGCCCTTCGTGACAGAGAACACATATGAAAACGAACAAGGCGAGATTTCCCCACCACGGAAGCCAGAAAGAGAGTTCTGTGTGTCCCCCAGAGCCTTCACGCACCCTGAGAAAAACGTCCCAGGTTTCCCATAACTCCTTAGGAGCTCCCGGGGTCACGTGTCGTGGGGGGGTCTTATGAGCTTTGTGGAGAGCAGAGGGTGTCTTGTAGTTGGTGTATCCCTCATAATGCCCAACATAGCTCTAAGTATCATCACTTTTTTGACAACTTCGAAAAGTATTTTCCTCATGAAGGAAAGTGGCAAATAGGAACATTAAGTCCCCTTCCCAGCCCCTCGGGATTCTGCTGTGGGTGTCCCGGCCACACTTCAAGAAACACTGATGGAATTCTCTAAAGGAGTCATAAGAACTCTCACTACAGCTTCTAACCATCCTCCTTAGAGGCATGCAGATAACATTGGAACTGCAGTTTTTGCAAAATCCATGCCTTGAAGGAGGGTGTCAAATAAAAGGTCAAAGCAAAGCAAAAGAAAATAACAACAGCAATAACAACCCCCCCTGAAGGGAGCTAACATGTACCCCATGTGACTTGCCTGCCATTCTCAGCAAAGCGATCAGCCCAGACCAACTGTGGCCAGCATCTCATGCAACAGCATACACAGACCATTATGAACTTTTTCCATTCATTTTCATTGGGTCGCCCAAGTTTACTAGTAGACACTTTGCTCAAAATCAGGCTCTGAATGCAACTCTGAACGCATTCTTTCCAATACACTGCAGGAAGCTGGGAACCACCCCAACCACTGCAAGAACCCCAGAGACGGGAACATCACTTCCGGTGTGAGCCTTCAGCGACATGAAGAGCAGAGATGGCTGGACGGTGAGTGGACTGTGGTCCAGATCTACATGGTGAAATTAACTTCTGTGCTATTATGAGTCATAATGTCTCCCCATGTAGGCTGCACGGGGCTGTTATAAAAATGTGTCTATATTCCAATGACCACAGATTCTCCTCACCCAGAACTACTCCATCAGATAGGACACATCCCCACTCCAACCCCATCTGCAAAGGTTCAAGAGAAACCCAACTCACTTTCCATCCACAGCCTCCACGATCTTGACCTCAATCTCCTGCTCATACAGGGTGCGTAGCATCCGGTCCCGCCGGTCCTTCCTGCGTTTGAGATTTATCATGAAAATCTAACGCAGGGAGAAAAGGAGAAGGAAACACAGATGACTCAAGTCTTCTTTTAGGCTGTTTGAGAATTTAAGTAAATGTAGCATCAACGTTTTAAAGTTTCAGTTGGGATAAGGAATGGAAACTGGAGATTAATTTATGTTTCATATCAGGTCAAATGACATGAATCCAGATGGAATTACTTTAAAAACTGAGCCATTTGTGGTGACTTAACCCTCCCTGTTTCTCTGATGTTCATTGGTGAACACCTCCACCTTGTTTTTGAGACAGGAAAGTTGAAAAAGTTGCTCTCCGCGAGGCTAATGGTGACTTGAATCTAGGCATAGGCACTAAGGGGCAGGAGGCAGCTTGGCAAGTGGTTAAATTCGTCAGCAGACCTGAGTTCCCATCCTGTTATTTACTAGTGTTTGCCTCAGATCAGTTCCTCTGCCTCAGTTTCCTCATCTGTAAAGCTAGGATAATAATGGTCCTGTCTCATGGGTACTAAGTACCAGCTATTATTATAATGTATATCCTCTGTCTAAATTTAAAGTCAAAGAATAAGAAAAATCTAGTCTTAACACATTCCTTTTATTTCCAAAGGTTCCAAACGTAATGATCAAGGTCTCAATTTTAGTAGCTTCTGTGTCAAAATTCAACTTCCTTAAAGATAAGGGCATTTTTCTGAAGGAGGTAAAGGAAGGAGTCATGGCCTCAGGGGCAGCCCTTTGAGGAAGAGAGAAGGGAGAGATGGAAAGAAAGGCTTACGTGAAGGCTTAAATGAAACTCTGAATTTCCATGTGGATCTGTGGGAAAAGGTATAGAGAGGACTCCTACTGGTCCCAAAGAAGGTGCGCTCAGATCATCCCCTACGAGGGCTGGGTCCACCTGTGCACCCACGTTATCCCTACATTCCTGATGGCTGCACTAGACACATACGTATTACCAGGCCACGACAGGAAGTTACAGATAATGAGGCTGTCCTAACTATTCCCAGGTTTAAGGGGCCACAGAAGGACTTAAAGCCTCATGAATGCTATTATAGGTAAGTTAATATATTAACAAAGTCTCTCCTATGGGCAGTAATAAACCCACTTAGTCCTCAAAGTGAGGGAGACTTCAGCTGCCAGCAAGAAATGATTGACACATAGCATGGAAAAGGAGAAACCTACAGGAGTGAGTCGGATGATGCTGGCTACCTCTTTAACCATCGAGGTGATATTTCATGTTACAGGGTCCAGACACTTGTTTGTAAAAAGAGGGAGTTGAACAAACTCATCTCTCAGTACAGAGGAAAACGTCTATGATCCACGCTTTATAACAGGGTTGCTTTATGCTATGTCCAGAATAAAGAAGTAACTATAACCAGCCTGCAGTTCAGACTAGATTGGGTAAAACTTTGGTTCATATGGTCATTCTGAGTGTGTTTATCGATGTTATATGATTTATTGGGATAAAAAGCTACACTAACTAAAACTGCAACTCTTCCTTACAAAATATTCTCATTTCCATCCATGTATAAAGCTCTGGGCAAAGAAAGTGAGGGGGTGGGGGCCCAAGATGACCTCTTTAAAAAATCATCCACTTGATATAGGGCGAAGTGTGTCAGGCACATCATGATTTCATCACCTCCTTTGTTTACCTAACTGGGTAATTATTTTTTAAAAACACAATTTCTATGGTGACCATTTGCCTTGTTACTGGTGATTTTACAACTTGATGGGCGGTGTTCTTTCCTATTTCATTTTCTTCCTGGGTAGTAGACTCATACTGCGATGGGCCATATTCCACCCCTTCGTTTTACAGATATGGGAAGGGCATTGCTTGTGGGCACACAAGGAGCTACCTGGGGTCACTCCAGGAGAGCAAACCACAAAACAAAAACTGAACAGAAACACAACAAAAAAGTCCCCTCACACCAAAGACCTCTGGCCTGGGATGACTTTAGGAAATAACAAGCCTGTCCCAGTTCCTACCAGGACAAGTGCAATAAAAACTGCAGCCACGAAGGAAAAACACAGACAGCTCGCTCATACTTAGTGCACGGTAAACAGAGAAAGAGCCACACAGCCAAATGCAACCCAGACACCACCACCGAGGTCGGAGAGTCCTGGGAGGGGTTGGAAAGGCCCAGAAAATCTTTTTTTCCACCATCCTACTCAGAACAGAGAGAAGATTACCCTGGGCCCCGGAGAGTGGAGTCCCTGAGGCTGTGTCACTTCCTAGAGTGGGCCCTTTTCAGAAGGCAACTACGAGTGACCCAGTCGTCACACCCACATCCAAATGCAAGACCAGAGCTAGAAGATCCTGTTCCTGTCCCGTGTATTTGCTTCTGTTTGATCCTTAAGGGAATGTGTTTATAGAAGGAAAATGACATATGTGAAGACACAGGCTCTTTTACCTGGAGAGCCAGGAGCTCCAGGGGAGGAAAGCTGCAGTGACACACGGGAGCCCGTTCAGTGCACGGTGCAGACCAACCTTCTCTGCAGCCTGATGGTTTTTAAAGCCATTTATACTTCAAGTCCTCTCTCCCACGCTTCCAATCATCTCTCCCCATTCAGCCCTCTGTGGAAATTGCTTAGTAGTGCTCTTTCCCACTTGATAGTCATGAAAGACTTCTTCCCATCCCAGAAGTTCAGCCCCAAGTCACTTTTATAGACAGAAGCCCATTTCCCAGTGCCAGCAGCTCTTTACATGGCTGTACTTAGGGAACATGCATTGTATGAAACCAGGTGATAAATAAGGACTTTCCTTTCAATGGAACAGCCGCCGCAATGGGCACAGAGCACAAAGCTTGGCCTATAACCTATCCAGATTCCGTGAGAAAGCACCCGGTGTGTGGATTCCTGACTCGCCTCTAGACCACCAAGTTCCTGAATACAGGACATGAGGAACCATGAAGGAGTCAGTGACTTGGCCCAGCCAAGTATCATATATGTTGGGCATATTACCAAGAGAGGCATCTCTTTATATTTCTGCTTCATTCTTTATGCAATTGAAACTTACTGACAAACATGGCCCTCAGCGAGCTATTATGAAATTCTTGCCTGGGGAAAGGCAGAATTTTAGAACAGTTTCTTCGTTCTCTTTTTTCTTTGTCCTCTCAACCCTACCCTCCAACCTTTTTCCTTGGAAGAACAGCGGAGAGGACATAAAATTCAGAGTGGTCCAGCACAGTTTCCACCCACTCAGAGTCAAGTTCAAGTTCTCTAATCCCGAAAACACATATCCTCTTTACCTTACCCTTGAGTCTTGATAAAAAGGTTGATAAACTGTGGCAATATTTTAGAAAAAAAACATCAAATTCACTTTCACCACGCAACAGTAGTTTCTTTCTGACTGAATGATTAATTCACTTTTACCATGATGCTCCTTTTTTAAGATAAGAAAACTGAGGCACAACAAAAAGTGAGTAATTTTTCCCAAGACCTCAGTTTCTTTTCAGTAGCCAAGCCCATCGTGTTGGCTCCCAGACCTATGCTCAGGTCTGTGCATTGATATAAACATACAAGCATGTTAAACCCTTGCACACACATACACACACACATAGACACCTTTCCTACCTCATCAAATCCCATCTTGTCTGGGTATTTAGGGACAACTGAGACAAACTGGGAGGGTTCCATTGGAGGTCGGTCAACTGGAAGACACAAGAAACACGCAGAGGGCTTTGTTAGTGCAGGTCAGAGAACAGAAATGCATCCACACACCTGATCTCTAAGAACACAACCTGCATGTCCAGGGCAGGGACAAGCACTCAGCACCTCTCCAGGACTGAGTGGCTACACAAGAACCCTGCCAGCCAGGGCCCTGGCTTTGAGAGCACTTGTTTATATGCTGATTGCAGTATTTGCTCCATTTCCCATAAGACTTATTGTCAGATGCCCTGCCAGTGTGGCTCAGTGGTTGAGTGTTGACCTATGAACCAGGAGGTCATGGTTCAATTCCCGATCAGGGTACATACTTGAGTTGTGGGCTCGATCCCCAGTAGGGGGCATGCAAGAGACAGCTGATCAATGATTCTCTCTCATCATTGATGTTTCTATCTCTCTCTCCCTCTGCCTTCCTTTCTGAAATCAGTAAAAAAATATATTTTTAAAAAGACTTATTGTCAGAGCATTTAGGGCAACCGATGAGGGTGAGGACTCTGTAGTCAGATGACCTGGGTCCAGGCTTAGGTTTGTGAAAGTCTGGAACAGTTAGGTGACTTCTCTTAGCCCCTTTCTTTGTGTGTAAAATCAAGATAATAAATGTGTATCTTTTAGGATGTTATAAAATTTAAATGTTACCGGCATGCCAGGCAGGCACAGTAAATTAACATAATAAATACTCAATAACTCTTAGCCCAGGATAACTTACTGTGGCCAATGATGAAAGAGCTCAGAAATAGGCCAGACCCTCTCGGAATAATGCTTTTCCTATACAGTTAAAGTGGTCAAAGCCTAGGACTATTTTTATCCCAGTCAGGCAGGGTTAGCTACAGGTACACAAAAGGTCCTTTATTTCAATACAAGCTCAGCTCCGAGGGCCAGCCCACGTCCCAGAACCTGGAACAGGGCTAACGAGGAAGTTTCCAGATGGAAGGAACATCATATCTTAACACACAAAAGTTTTAATTATTTGAAACTAAAAAAACAAACGAAACAACTATCTTTACAAGCAATGTAAGTTAAAGATGGATAGCCATGTTGTTGAAAAACCTGAGAGAGTCTTGAAGACTTTTGGTATTGCACAAATTCAAAGCACTCATTTGGTTTTTCTTAGAGATAACACAGAATATAAAATGAAAGCTGGTACATGGGTTGTTTGAAGACCTATGGGTGATGGTCCTTAATGGATGGTTCAGCAGCATTCATTCTCCTCCGTTCCAGGGACGTGAGAGGAAAACAGTTCCTCACCCTTGAAGTTAGTCACGACCATGTGAATTCCCTTGCTCCACTCTCCAAACCCTCCCTCCCACCCCCATCCCAGCCCCCACAGTGATATGGAGAAGCCACTCATTTGGAGCAGCCCACAGTGATGTACCCACATATGGAGGGCAACCGCCCAGGGAAGACATCAGACCGCAGCAGACTTTGTACAGCCAGGCATAAGCCATTGCTGGATTGAGCTGAGGAGATCTGGGCACCATTTGATATACCAGCATAACTTGCCTCATCCTGACTGAGATACTGTCCCCTCACTGGGATATTAAAGAGAAAGCAGGACATCCAGTCTCGCTAATGACCAAGTAATGTGAAGTTCTAGAAGACAGTGAGACAGGTTTCCTAAGCCAAACATTAGAGTTGGGCTCTTACATCAGCCCTGACCCATCTGTCCAATTTCTGTGCGAACATAGAGCACATGTTTCTGTTGCCATTAGCAACCCCGAATGTTTGGGTCCTTTCTGTTCCACCTCACTCCTCACTAGTTGCTTTTAACATCAACAAATATTTATTGAGGATCCACCATGTACAGAGTTAGATTTCTAAGAGAAAGAAACGTAACTTATAAACTCCTCCTTGTTTATACCGTTGTTTGAGAAGCCGTCTAGCTCTCCCTCCTCGAGCCTTCTGAGACTTGGGAGGGGGTTATTTTTTGCGTTACCCTTTCCACACTCTTGGTCTCTGTTTGGCACTCACATGGCCTGTGTGGCTTTAACATGTCAGCCAAACAGACTGCTTTTAGCCACTTTGTTTCCATCAAACATGGGAGGTCATTGCATTCATAGGAGAAGTGCCCCCCAAAAAGCCCAAAGCGGCTGGCTCCTGAAAACCACCATTGAGCAAAAATTAGAGAAATACGCCTGGGTTTTGCCACTGAAGACAGAGAACTAAGCCATAGGAAAAACAGGAAACGATATGAGCTAGACCTAAGAAACTTACTTGACTGTCAGGTATATCCCAGGTTGTTTGGGGTCATTTCTGACTCCATCATTCATAATTGATCTAGACCCTCATTGAATCCCTCTTGATACATATTCCCTCCCTATACCAACATTTGGTGCAACATGTTTCATTGGCTCCTGGATAGGTTCAATAAAGATCTAGGAATAATAATAGCTATTGTGACAGAGTTCTTATCACTTACTGAACTCTGGGCTACACACTCTTGGTATATGCAATCACATTTATTTAATCTTTACAACATGTACCGTGGGATAGCTATGATAGGGAAACAAGGTTTAAATGACTTGCCCAAGGTCACAGATCTGATAGAACTGATATCTGAACCTAAGCCTGACTCTTGCAGCTGAACTCTTAACCCCCAAGCTCTACCCTGCCACCAAAGCTATTCCTTGGTAGTCCTTGGAGCCAAGTTGGCCTTGGGCAATGGGTCTGGGTTCATAGTAGCTCAGTTAGCTAAGTCCTTGCTTCTGGAGCACCCACCATCCAGCATACAACATACCAGCCCAGTCACACTTGGAAAAGTATTTGAGAAATTATGCTTGCACCAAATCCTAACACTTCTCTATAACTTCTTCTGAACTTCCATTGCTCTAGCCACCACCCTAGCTCAGGTGCTCATTCACCATGCTTGGGGTGTTTTAATATTTTTAAAACACTCATGTGCTCTTACTCTTGCCTCATTCTAACTCATTCATTGTGCACACTGTTGAAAATATCATTTTCTTCCACAAAAAGAGCTCTGTTCTTGACTGTGACACTCAAGTGTTTTATAATTTAAGTGCTTTCATATTCACCACATCATTTTAGCTTCTTTTTTATTGTTGTTCTTTTGTAGAGATGAAGAAATTCAGACCAACCTAGATATAGATTTGCTCAAGGTCAAATAGTGAGTGATGGGAGGAGCTAGAACTCAGTTTTAGACCTTATGACTTCAGATCCAATATTCTTTTTAATATTTTTATTGATTTTTAGAGAGAGAAGAAGGGAGAGGGAAAGAAGGAGAGAAACATCGATGTGAGAGCGAAACATTGATCAGCTCCCCGCCTGCACCCCTCAACTGGGATCAAGCCCGCAATCTGGGCATGTGCTCTGACTAGGAATTAAACCAGCAACCTTCTGTTGCACGGGATGATGCCCAACCAACTGAGCCACACTGGCCAGGGCAGATCCAATATTCTTAATAATCTACATGACATTCCGTTGCCTCAAAATGTCATTGCTGATAATGGGCACCTAAGATTTCCATCATCTCATGCTCTGATTTGCAAGAGCAAACTTCTCATACCTCATACCTATTTACTTCTAACACTTTCTAGCTTCCTGTAATTCATCCCCAAATTTGCTGTACAGGAAGCACATCCCCAAATTTCTGTGCAGCTCCCACCACTCATTCCAAACTGTTCATCCTTCAAAACTCCCAGCCTCTTTGATGCTTATTTTCATACCACCTACTTCCTCATCAGGCCCCTTCAGCCACTGATGACTATGGCTTCTGGCTCATGGTCTCACTGTTATCATTCTTAGAAACCTCAGCATCCATGCAGTGATCTGTCTAACAGCCTAGTGACTCCCAGGTCCTAGACCTTAGTACCAACAAGCATTCCTTCAGTGACCCACTACCATGCCGGCACCCATCATGCCCTTCATGCCCTTGCTTCCATCAGTACCCAACCCAGACCTCATGGTCCAGTACTCTAACCATTCCCAGTAAACACTCTTAAATCTCTTCCATTAATCTTGTTTAGCAAAACCCCAATCTTGGTTAAATTCAATTGTCCATTTACACAGCACCGAGAAAAATTCCGCAAGAGAAATTCACACAGTTGTTCTGACTGAGTCATTTCAAAACTATAACCGCAGATGTCAGATTGGCACTCAACACTGCCAAATATGCAACTATATACTTCCATAGTAAATTTACTTTCTGTTCTCTGAAAGATGTATTTTGTGCCTTTTTCTTTCTTCTGAAATCTCCAACATCTCTCTCAAGCTGTTGATTGGAGTACATATGTCATAGAGAAAATATTCAAAGTCAAATTAGTCCTGCCTTTTCCTTTGACCTCAAGTTTACAAACTCAGAAGCATCTGTACCCACACGTTCTGACTTCTACCCATTGGCTACCGTGGGAGAAGCATCCCTGTTCCTATCTAGGACAACCTCTCCAATGTTGCCCTGGCTTACAACGCCTTTTGTTTTCTCAAGGTCTTCAGCCTTAACAGTCATCTTCCTCTCTTCTACAACATCAAGTTCTCCTCAGCACACAAATATGCTAAAATCCTATCTTAAAAAATAACACACAAAACATAACAACCTCTGCCTTGATCTCTCACTGCCTTCCAGTCACCATCCTATTCCTCTAACTCTCCATCCCAGCAAGATCCCATTCTCTCATCTCCCCATTGTTCTTTCTTCAGCCCACTCCAATGGGCTTGTGTCCCCATCGTTTCACTGAAGTGGCTCTTATCAAGGCCACCACAGATCTCTACCTCGACAGAACAAATGATCAATTCTCTATCCTCACTTTACTTGACTTCTCAGCAGCATCTGGCTCCTTCTTGAACAGTTCTCATTTTTTCCTTCCAGCTTTCTGGCTGTTCGTCTCCCCCAGGGATCTGTCCTCCTCCCTCTCCTCTTCTCTTTCGATGTTCTGTTACTAAACAAGTTCACTCTGTTCCATGGCTTCAAATATCCTTTTAATTCGAATGACCTCAAATGTCTGTCTCCAGCTGGAGTCTTCCTGAACTCCAGATTCATAGAGCCAAGTATCTCCTAATCTTTCCATTCAGATGTTCAATAAATATCTTAAACTTACATCACCAAAACTTCTCTCCCAAATCTTTTCCCATGAAGCCTTTCCCACTTCATTAACTGGTAAACCAGGCCAAAATCCTGGAGCCATCCTTGATTCCTTTCTTTCCTCACAGGCTGCATCCAGGTCTCTGTAAGTCCTATTGGCTCCACCACCAAAACATATCCTAAATCCGCTTGCTTTTCATCTCCTCCCTGCTACAGCTTACATCCCAAACACCATCTTCCCTCACCAAGAGAGCTATACTGGACTCCCTATACTGTAGTGTCCATACCATAGTCTGAGTGACCTTTCTTATACATTAGAGGTCATTCTGACTGGGCTCACGTCCTGCCCACTGCCGACATGCACACATCCTGTGCTCTAGTGATGAACAACTGAATTTCTTAGATCCCGTGTGACAATTCAGTGTAAATATGCCCTCCTTTGGGAAGCCATTTCCAACATCCTTCCCTACGCAGGATGGATCTGTAGCTTTCTCCTTAGCCACCTGTACATTATACATAATAATTAGTGTAGCTACTGATTATCGAGCCTCTACCAATCCTGACATCATGTAGACCTGGAGGCAATAACAACACAGTGTGTAAGGATACACGTTTTGGAGACAACAAGATTGGTTCAAAACCCAATCTGTCATTTCCTTAGCAGAATGATCTGGGGCAAGTTACTTAAACTCTCTATGCCTCAATTTTTTCATCTTTAATATGGAGATAATAAAACCCCTTTCACTGCTCTGTTGTAAGGATTAATGAGACAATGTATAAAGCAGCCTTAGCTGGTTTGACTTAGTGGATAGATCATCGGCCTGCAGACTGAAGAGTCCCAGGTTTGATTCCGGTCAAGGGCACATGCCCGGGTTGTAGGCTTGATCCCCAGGAGGGGGTGTGCAGGAGGTAGCCAATCAATGATTCTCTCTCATCATTGATGTTTCTATCTCTCTCTCCCTCTCCCTTCCTCTCTGAAATCAATTAAAATATGTTTTAAAAAATGCTTAGTATGGTATCTGATACATCATAAACTATTAGTATGATGAAGTCATAATTATTGTTGTAGTTATTAGACTTTTTATATATATCATTGAACATCTTCCCCCAAAGTCTACAACTTTTCATCATCTCCATTGTACAACTAAACAAGTTAGATTACTTGCCCGAAGTCATATAATTAGAAAGCAGCAACGTTAGAGTTTAAATCCCAAGACAAAGCTCCATTATAGCCCTGATGACATTGTGTGAAATGCATTTACTGTGTACCCAGCTCTCCACCTGGACGGATGCTCCCTGAGGGAAAAGGCTTCGTCATGTTCACATTTCACGTTAGGGAAAGTTTAAGAACAAAGGAGCAAATGAATAGCCATGTTTCAGCCAAGGCAGACTGATGGCTGCGAGACTCCAATCCTGGGACAGCGGAGGTGTGTCTGTGGTGGTCACGGTGGCAGTGGAACAAGAGCCATCGCAGGCTCTTGGGTCACTCACTCATTGCTTCTATCTGCACATGGATGAGGGTTTCGACGTCGTCCTGCAGGGTCTGATGGGGCTTCAGGGGGATGGGCAGGTAGCCGTAGTGCTCTCTGTTGCAGAGGTACATCTGGATGCCTGAGGACCCAAGAGAGGGACAAAGCCGACCAATCAGAAAACAACACTTGTTAGTTCTGTAGTGATAACTATGGAAAAGGAGGCTGGACTGTGGCTGGTGCTGGGTTTGGCTCTGATATTGAACAAGTAGCTGTTTCAGGCACTGTCTGCAGACCTCAAAAATGCTCCTTTATTAAGAAAGTATAACACAGCATTGGGGTCTAATAAAAAGCCTGGGCCATTCTTCAGCTCAGAGGAAATTGATTTTTTCTCTCTAAAGAACAAGCATAGTTGTGGTCTGAAATGAACACTAGAGGCATGAAGGGATCAACAGAATAGAACACTGCAATCCACCAACAGGAAATAACGAGAGACTGAGGAATAAAATCCATATTTGATATGAAAGCAAACAGGAAAATCCTGTAAGGCTGACAGATTACGAGAGCTAAATCTAGGCATATGTAGAACAAAAAATAAAAAGCAAGGAAATTTAAATTCTCCATGACTCTCTTTAGTTTTATTTCTTCTCTAAGCAAGCTCCCTGAGAGCAAGTTTCCTGGATTTGGTGTCAACCAATGGACATGAAACTTCTAGAACAAATTCATAAAGGAACAAAAGAAAGTCTGCATCTCAAGGCCTGTGAAGAACCTGCCAGAAATATGCCATAGCCCTCTCGTATTCAACACTGGTCTTATAGCCCCAGCTGGCTAGTTCTGAGAGTTATATTACACAGCATCTGTGTTCAACCAGATAGCTAGGAATGTAGGGATCAAGATGGTCTCCTAGGGACCCAGCAGCAGACACAGTTTTGACTAATGAACAGATTGCTTCATTAAAAGAATGAGTCTGTCAAGCTCTGGTCCATGTGTCCAAGCTTCTGACTTGTTAATTGCTAGAATCATCTATGTTTTCCAGAGAGAGAACTACCTGCACAGAGCCTTCTCTATTTTGTGCAGATGAGATTTCCTCCGGTCAGCTGGATCACCTGCCAAATCAGCTGTCTCATGGCATTAACTGAAAAGAACAGGGAAGAAAAGAGCTTCTATCCTCTCCTTTGCTGACTCTGGCTGAATCAGGGTTGGTCCACCAATCACTGTCACTTCTCTTGCCTTCACCAAGTGAAGTCATTAGCTCTGCTGTGCGCCCGCACGAAGGCTTCTGGGGAACTTCAAACCCAAAACTACCCTCTTGCAAGTCATGATGAATTCAGAAAGGAGAAGAAAAGTGATTTCAGGTTTAGGTTGCCTCTCAACCCTTCAACTTTCCAAAGTTGCCATTCAACTTTCCAAAGCTTCAGTAAAAAGAGGACATGAGACCTAGCTGAGCTATCCATCAAGTGAGGAAACAAGAGAGGCATGTTCAAACATGCAAGGTCATAAATATTTACTTTCCATCATACGGTCTCACCAAGTTACTGGATGATGTGGAAGAAGAAGAAGGAGAAGGAAGAGGAGGGGCGGGGGGGGGGAAGAGAGG